AAACGAATATGAAAACACCCAGTCATGTTCTTCCCACATGCCATGTACAAAGGGATTTTTTGCGCAGCACCAATTTAAGAATATTTCTTGATGTTTTTTCAGGCTCAAAGTACTCGTATCTTTTCTATGGCAACAAAGTATACTCTATACTAGATGATAGGGTAGTTTCGTCGAATAGAATTGATGAACTGTTCCCATCAGGCCCTAATTCAGTGAATGCCGCTGTATATGACGTGGAAAACGAAATCGTTGTCTTATTGCATGAACGATCAGTAAGTCACGATATCTCTTATATTTTTCCATTGTACTTCATGTGCAGGTCTATGGTTACAAAGAGTTTGGAGCAAACACGATGAGACTAGATTCTTCCTACCCTAAGGTGAGCAGTACATGACTCATACATTTTGAAAACTGATCACGCGAGAATCGATTGCAAAAATGTTATGACAATAAAATATTGAACACAAATACATTTAGGAACTACCTTCTGCAGTTTTTACTCCAAACGGGGCAATGAGATGGCATGACAAACGACAAATGCTTTTGTCGGTAATAATACGAATGTATGAGCCCTTGAGAATTTAAAGCATCAATCAGCTTTTTTAAGAATGGTGGAAAGTTTGCCTTGTATGACGAAAACTGGAACAAATCGCTAATGACAGGGAGGATCAATGACTATTTCAAAGTAAGTAACTAAAGTACTTGTTAGCACTCAACGGAAAATCTATTTGCAGGGACTACCTGACAATGTCCGAGGGGTTTCGAGGTGGGAGGACGGTCAAGCAAAGGTTTACACAAAAAATCTAGTTTTCACTTACAATGTTGCTAGCACTGGAGTGACAGGAGATGGAATTCCTATTGCAGCATTCTTCAAGTGTCAATAAATATAATAGCCGTTGACTTGCATTGACCTATGGCCATTCCAAGAAAAGTTCACCAGGGGCGGTATGTATCAATCGCCCGTCCGGGTAATGGTTTCCATTCAGGTAGTCTCCGCCTCAGAGCTGATGTGTGGGGATCTGTGTTTCTCCTTGTTTCATCTTTTGAAAGCACTACTACCCTGGTATTCTAGCTTGATAAACAGCAGCACTTTGCTGTATAAGCTGAGATTTTTGGTATTTTGTATGGACGGGATCCTCAAGGAATCACGGCTCATTTTGAAGCCATTTATCTTTGCAAAAACTAAATGAAAACCTTGTAAAGTAATGCTTCGATCTACTATGACAATGCTGAGCATTTTTGTGGGAGTGGTAAGTGAGAACACAAGTTGAAGAATCTCCGATGAACCTCCGCTCGCGAGTTTATCGAGAAACTCAAAACTTCCATATTTCATCCGTGCTACGGAAAACATGCTCAGCACTGTCATAATAAACCTTCAGCACTTGAACGTTTTTATTGAGCTTTTGCAAAGATATTAGGTCGTAAAGAAAGTTCACGGGCACTTGCAAAAATCTTTTCCAGATCGCTGTAGTTTCAGGCAGATTGATTCTTCTTTGGAGCTACAAAGTTCATTGCAAAGACAGTTCTGTCCATAACATATATTTGTCTTGCTGACTTTTCAGCGCCTCATCGCGGTTCACCAGCCGCAGAAAGAAAAATGTTCTCGCGAAAAGTGGCCTATTGGTGCAGAAGCCGGAGAGCTCAAATGCTGTGGTTATATAGAATCTGCTGGGGCTATTATGGAGACTATTCAAGCCCTTGAGAGACTGCATGCAAAAAAAGTTTTTACAGAATTCAAAAATCATTTACTTTTTGCCCCTACAATTGCACCATTTTTCGAGTAAGTGGCTTTTAAGTTTCCTTCTGCATAGGGTAGACCAGATTGTTGCGAACATTGTTAATAATGCCTAACACAGCTTTTGTACCTATCATCCAGGCATGGTTTCCCGCAGAAACGACGCCAGCTGCGAAAAGAGTTGCAGGCAGAGGCAAGTCAGACAGCTTGAAATTTCTGAGCGCAAATCGCAAAACTCGAGTGCAGCTGCAGGTCAGAAGATAACAGGCTCCTCAATCAGATCACCCATGATTTACGAATTTCTTTGAATTACACAAAAAAATGGTAGTAGGAAGAAAAATTGTGAAATTTTTCTGGTTGGAAAGGGTTTCTTTTTGATGTGCAGATCAAACACGTTTTGGCAGCGATAAAAATCAGAAGCCGTGTTGAAAGTTTAGGTTTCTCTCTAGTGAACAGTATAAAAAACTTGGTGTCAAAGTCCGACCGAGGGCCGAAAAAATGCGTTTGAAAATAATATTTCCAAAAGTGCCCTGGAACTTTATTCACAACCTAATAAATGACTTTGAAAATGAGCCGTGATCCCCCGAGGATCCCATTCGGGATTATGAAATATATCGGAAATTCAATACAACAAAGTCCTGATATTCATTAAGCTAAAATATTAGGGTATCCGCAGAGCACCAAGCTAAGAAGCGGATACTGCCTGAGCGGGACTCTTACCCGGACGGGCGATTGATACATACCGCCCCAGAGCTTCTACCCAAAATTTCGCTATAGTTTTATGTCTTAGAATCAAACATTTTCAAAAAATTTCCGCTTCACTTTTATTTGAATTCAGACATTCCATTTGTCATTTAAATATCAAAACCCATCGAGATGCTAATCAACATAACTTTCCCAAAGTAAACTTGAGAACAAATAAATCTACTGTAATGAATGAGTTTCACTGCTTACTTAACATTAGCACTTAGATTATCTGTTTTCGTGGCTCTTTATACAGATGGATGCTTGCGTCTATTTCTATGCGAATGTTTTTTCGAAATTTGATCTGGAGCATGACGTCCATCTAGAAGACATATGCAAAAACATGAGGGTGACTGCATTAATAAAATCATCGATGCCTAACATGCTCGAATGATCAAATTGAGGGCAATAGAGCTCTGAGTTCTAAAAACACCTTACATCCCCGAGATGAGCTCTTGACGTAGTACAATAGCGAGGACCTAAGTAAATTATTGCCCGAGTCACGCTCCAAAAGGAGTAAGATGAAGAATAAAAATCGCTCTAGATTATGAATGCTGCTGGGATGGCCGCGATCATCGTATGGTTCAGAGCTAATGGGCCCTAAACTAAATTCAGTACTAACAGGAAATCGCCTTTCATTGCGAAAAGCACATTTTCCACGTGAGTATGCTGGGGTTCAGTTTCGGGCTGGCTCATTACTTTTGAACCATTGGTGGCTGATTTAACCTCAGTGCCATCCACATATTAGAATGACTTTTTCGCTTTGATACACACATTTTGCAGCGGAGCTTGGGCAGTTGGGCATTCGAATATCATCGATCTCAGATGGAAGACGCTGACTCCAAGCAGCTGCACGCGACACATTAGATCAGCTCAACTTCCCATTGCCTGTATGATGTACTGCTTTGAGAAAGAGATTCAAAGAAGTTTGAGACAAAGTGAAGAGTTCTCATCACAAATGCCATTGTTGAATCATTTTCTCAACTGTGATATCAGCGAATGTGTGAGAATATCAATTTTGCCCACAAAATCAAAAATTGCACTAACTCTATTGTAATCTGCCTTCTTTGTGAAACACATCGGGTTTTGCTGAATGATGAGGAAACTTGTAAATAAAACATAAGACAAAAGAGGCGTAAAGTAAAGCCCTATTTTTTCATACTTTATTGGCAAAGTAAGTCCTCGAACTAAGTGTGATGCTCATTCGCATGTACCCAAAGTCATTGCTATATTCCATATAGTATAATATTATAGAAGAATACGATAGAGTCTTATCAATGAGAAAAAGATCACGCTTTGAGAGCATACTTCCCCTCCTAAAAGTTCAGGCAAATGAATGGGATAAAATCTAAGATTCAGATAGCACTGTTGTGCCGCCATCACGATTACTGGTAAGAGCAGCAAAGTATACAGTTCGAGCTCAAATGTGGGAGAAACAGTATGCGATACCGACTCAGATGTTGTTGCAATTTATTAGGTTGGCCCGAAAGTTTGTTTGCACCATTTTCAAAAATTCATACTTTTTTCAACCTATTTGCGGGTTTTCACTTTTATCTGAAGGATCAAGTCATTCTCTTCATAGTGGTATTAAGCATACACTGCATAAACAGAAGCCGTAGAAGAAAATCACTCAAATTTTGAATTCTATGTGTGGGTCACAAAATCTGAAACTTGCAGTAAAAATCGGATAGTCTGCTTTATAGGTTCTACTACCAGCTCTTTCTAACCGTACAAGGTTTGTGCTAATTGAGCGTCTCTATGAAGAGTTATGATTACTGCATCTATGTTCTAAAATCTTGAGAAAAGAAAAGGTATAATAGTCCTTCTTTACATTTGTGCAGGGCCTTATTATCATTTCCATGGGTGGGAATGCAGAATGGCATAGATTAACAATATTTCGTTCGCATGGTGTTTCATAACGAAGAAAATCTGAACTCGGTATCAAGCTTTTTTTACCAAGCACCAAAAAATCGACAATATCATGACGTAATCGTATCCTACAGAAGAATTTGATGTTTTGCAGTAACCCTCAGGTTGTATTTTCCGAAGACTCCACAAGTTGAAGGCTCTCACCATTAATTTTTCTTGATCTTGTTTCAATTCACCTTTTAGGCAAGCCATATATACGAATATTCAATCGCTCTGAACTAGCAAATGTGAGAGGAGATGTCCCATGATGGAGTAATCCACGCTTTTGAAAACAAAGAAATGTCATAAAATTGTAGCCACTCAATCATGTCAATCAACGTGTATCGATATTTGTCGGCATTTGGAAAATTTTCGGATGAACATCGAACAATTGATTTTCGTCAAACTCGAACGAACGAATAATTGACATCGATTTCTTTCCTGCAATTAAAATGTGCGAATACTGGCACACCTCAAGATTTGAGTTTTTTGATGGTTGATAATATAACTTGATCGATTTTAGTGATCGAATAACGTCCCATCCAGTATTCGGATATTCATGTTTCGACTCCATTACTCATATTATTCAAAATCGGAATTTTCGGTGTGTCAACTATACTTTAGAGAAATTGGACAGTATCTTTGAAATCTGTATCAGTAGTGCGATGCCGCAAAAATCTTGAGCACAAAGAGCTGTTTCCACCTTTGTGTAGGTAGCAATAGCCTTCTTTTTCTGTGAAGCGATAGTATACTTTTAGTGCACAAAAACCATGTTTAGTCTATAAACTGCGCAAATGACAAAACGAATAGATAGAAGCAACTGCTATACCTGAAGCTCAACAGAAGCTGGCTTACTATTGGTGCTTGTTAGAAGATCTATTGAAAGCTCAGGTTGAACACTCCTGCTATACAGTGATACCTAAAAGCTAACTAACATTGTTTTCGCTAAGCATCTTTAAACTGTGGAAAAACTAACTCTTAAAAGTGCAGTGCTACGCTCTTTTATTGTCCTCAATTAGCCATCACTCGTAAAGCATAAAGCACTTGACCGTGAGTTAAAATGATAATGAGCACTATTTGCTTTTTGTTTCTTCTCATGGTGCCCCCTCCCCCGCCTCCCTCATGAGGCACTCATATGAATGAAATTGCTGTGTTCATTTATGGTTTTTGTTTTCAATTATGAACATCTGATTGCAATGCACAACCATTCATTTCCTAATACTAACAACAAGACTTACATACTCAGCTATTTGGCTCAAAGCGCCTGTGTCGTAGAATTTCTAAATAATCTACAACCTGTACATTAGTCATGTATGTTTTATTCCATTCTAAAAGTGTGTGTTGACAAACTTCAAGTTCACTGACCAGTTCAGCGCCAGGTCACTCCTTCAGAGAACTCCAACTGTATGTACTTGGCGGCGTCCACTTTCATGTAGGCAATTCTTCACACTGAGTGATACCGTTGTTTGCCAGAAATGAGCAATCAGGTTATTTACGGCAAAAACAATGGCATAAAAGCGCATGAATACTCAGTTCTGGTGTTAGTTCAATTATCACTATTATCGTCAGCGGCTGTTCCGCACTTATTCACTGTTGATAGCCAGCGGTGTTCCGCTACTATCTAATCTTTCAACAAGGCTTAGACAACATTCTGTAGAGCTGGATCCAACTTAGATTTACACTTTGAGCAAGACACTGACCACTCTTCATTACTGTAGGATTACGGTGTGAACTTCCGGCTACGTCATCACTGTAAAAAGCTCAGTTTCAACTTTTTTCCAAAGAATTTGGAAGTTTGTATGATAAGGTTTTCATGGACGCTGAGTTTGATAGTCCAGTTTTGCAAGATTGCAAAGTTTTCTTAACGGTGTAGACAAACTTTCCAGGAACAAATAACGGCTGCCACTGCTTATCTAGCATAACTTTTTGAAGAAGCATTATGATGAGATGCAAAACTCATGTCTGGAATCAGCAATTTTAATCGCTTTAGTAATGAGAATCAGTTTGCTTTATCTCCTTTCTGAAGCAAAAAAAGGCCCTTCAAGGCTCAAAACCTTCTTCGCAGTTGTTACCGTGATTCTAGACTAATGAAGAGAGGATATGTGATTCGCTCTATACTCTGTATCTATACTGTGAATCTAAGTTGAAGCCAGCTCTCAAACAGTAGGATTTTTTGGGACACTCTGTATAGCTTAGTACCAGTCTGATTCATCCAAAGCCGCCTGTGCAACCACGCTATCATGAGTTTGGTGATGTTCTTTTCATTTGATCCCTAGTAGAGGTAGCCTCCTGTGCGTTACTGCGCTAGCCCGCCTAAATATCATATTCACTTGATCGATCAAGCCTACACTAACATAAAGAACACAACATAACTCCTTTGACTATTCCCATATGCATTAGCGCCTAAATTTTTGCGTTCGATCAATTCTTCTTCAAGCTGTTGCTGCCTGTTCTCTACGTGTCTTACAATTCGCACAGCCTCAACATTTCGCTGATTGTGAAGAATTCCTTTTGCAAGCACAGCATCGCTCTATGAAAAATCAGGCGAAAGCCAAGACAACCTTCTCGCTGACTTTCGGTAAACGGTGAAGTTAATAGTCATTTTGAGGTAGAACTGGTTTTCGCAGAGCAATTTTTAACATCTTTGTGCCGCAATGTAAATCATACCAAGGGCTGTTCTTCTTGTGAAAACTCAATGATTTGTGTGTCTTGTGACACTTTTCCTAACTTCTCACCTGCAAACATGTTCAAATCAAGGGACTGGCACTGTTACAAAACTGTCGCGATATTCAGATTCTTACACTCACATGCGATTGATTCTCGTAATTTGTTTTGCTGCAGCTGTAGAAGCCGGAGTAGGTGATTACCTTGCCGAAGTAGGTAATTTCTTTCGCAAGCTATTTGGTGGAAACAAGATGGAGGATGGAAACAAAGAAAAAGTAAGCTCTGGAGTTTTTTTTCGGATCTCATACTCCATGAATTTCAAAAGCCATTTCGTTGCGTCGTTTCTCATTTTTTATGGCATCCGTAAAGTTCGTGGAGTTTTGCACAATGAATTTCTTGTGCTAAAACGTTTCAGAGAATCAAAGGAATCTTTTCTATATAGTGATGTTGTTACGCAAAACTTTAACAGAGCGTAAAGAAGACGGAAGTTGGTAAATATAAGAGCATTTAAAAAAGTGTTAGTGATTTAGGAAATAAAGAAGTGGTTAGAGAAGTGAATTGACCAAAAGAAAAATCAAACCCATTAGGCGCAGTCACACGAACGTCATTTTCTCAAGCAACTGACTTTGTTGAAATGTGCATTAGTATTTTCAGCTTCCTGTGATCAGTCCAGATCCGGGCCAGCTTACCGAATTGCATGTTAATCCAAATCTAGGAGATGAAATCAAGATTCCGCGCGCAGGTTCCAAGAATCCCAGTGAAGGAGCAGAGATTTATATTCCAAGCAATCGTGTTCCGGTCAAAGATGATCGAATTATGCAGTAAAATAAGGTTATAGTGCAGTCTGAAATAATGGTTTTCTGATTACGAGATTTCTCCCTCAAGCGTATGTCTGTGATCATCTTTGTCATCATTTCATTGTCAAAATATCTATTACGAATTTATACATAGAACTACACAATAGTAAATGCAGAAATCGATAGACAAGAATGAACTGTTATTACTAAAGCGGATATCCTTTGCATTTCCAAACATTTGTGTCATGAAATTTGTTCGTAATCATCTCTTACCTTTTGCTACAATTCACAGATGAATGTTAGTGAATACTGAAATCATGTTACCGAGAACTTGCCAGATAATTCGATGCATCTACTTCAAGACTAAGGTTAACTATTTGGTTGACAACTACAATAGTTATACCATGCCTCTATAAACGAACATTTGGACGAGTAACTAGTTCAGCAAATTAAATATAATGGAAATATATCCCATTGTTTTCAAACACTTTCTTGTTTCAAAAGGGTTACATACGTGCGCGATAGGAACTCATTAGAATGAATTTGCAATTGTTGAAAGTGTTGTTTGGTTGTTCACGAGGACAATACTCGTTATGTGTTGTAGGGGATAATTCTCAAATGTCGTGCACAAATAAAGCATCCAATGTACCCTTATGTACGAAAGAATCTTTACAGTTCCGAGAAATCAACAGTAAGTTCAATCCTGAAAACTGCAATTCATGATTGCCCAGACACCAGTGACAGCCGAGGGAGGGAAGGGCTGCCCCAACCCTCAAAAGGATTGCTAAATTTTGAAAGGTGCCTACATGCCTTATAGAATTGTGCAGGTGACTCGTTTATATTTGCGAGTAATAATAAATCTGAAAGAATAATTGGCTAGCGCATCACACCGTCATTCGGAAATTTCCCTCGCTCCCTCACCCCCCCCTCCACGTGCTTAGAACGAAGTTTCTGAGTTAGTCTATTACGATAACGTACATGCAATGCGATACAGATATTGGTGTAATACGAAAACTGGGTAATTTTAGAGACTCCTCTACATGGTGGCAAAGTTCCGAAAGAAAAACTTGAGTACGCAAGGTTGCATTAATCGACGCAGATGGAAAATCGATGAAAAAAAGATCTGATTACATATGATAAAGTTCTTCAAGAGATCTACACGTTACGCCTTCCGGAAACATGGATTCCAAAATATATAATAATTTTTTACCAAAAAAGTCCGAAAATGGCAGTATCTCAATGTAGACCACAATTTTTCGAACGTGAAAAGTCTCTTTAGGGTTCTTTTTTAAAGCGAAAACACAAGCAATCCAAAAAAAGCATGCTATCATATAAAGCTCATTAAAGATTATAAGCTAGTTATGGTTTTCCATTGATGAAACAAGTTTAACCCTTATTTTGCACTTTCCAAACAACTTCTAAGTCCCTCTTTCATATAAAATTTCTTCCCATAAAAACCATATCAGTGCAATCTAACAAAGCTATTTGAAATAAAATACATGCTCCTGTTTATTATGCAGCATCAGACCAGTGCTGATAAGTTTTCTTGCTGGAATTGCTTTTGTAATGCGAGCATGTAACCTCACCTGTATTCCATTGACTTGTACCGTTAGACTTGTAGATCGGCCAGCAGTCATTCTGTTAGCATGTACGGTTGTTTTCAATACGTATTGTTTTTTTCTACCGTATGCCTTCCAGCCTCAACATGACGTGGATTGGTGTGGATTGGTATGGATTGGTGAGGCGCCGCATCGCTTCGGGTTTGCGCCGCGTTGCTTTTCTCGGCGGCGCCGCACCAATCCACACCAATCCACACCAATCCACACCAATCCATGTCATGTTGAGGCTGGAAGGCATACGGTAGAAAAAACCAATACGTATTGAAAACGACTGTAATATGTATACTCACGAAAGAACGAGACACCCACACGATGATACGCAACAGAAGTGATTGGAGTAAAAATGGCTTGGGCTCTTATCATACCAAAACCATCTAAGAGCTTCGAAACTGAATATAAGGATGACATGGTAAAGAAAGGGGCTCTACTCGTATTGGGGCTGTACTCGTACTGGCTCATGCTCTTGTCTGGAAGAACTTTACTACTCTAAAGTCTTACAGCCTTTTTGACATGAAAAATCGATGAAAATCCGCCCTCGCGCAGCCAGAAGTCTCGCAGATAAGTCCTCCCATCAGATAAGTCCGCCTACAGATAAGGCCTACAGATAAGTCCGAACTTATCTGACAGATTTCAGAGTAGCCTGAAGGCGGACTAATCCGAAGAGCCATATTCGAGTCAAAAAAGCGGACTTATCTGTAGACGGACTTATCTGATGGGGGACTTATCTGTGAGATTTTAGGGCAATAAGGATTCGCTTTTTCTACCCCGTTTTCAAAGACTCCCTAATCTCTTGAAAGTACCCTATTGCATCGAGGAAATCATTGTCGGGGATATCTCGCTCTTTCTAATAAGCCTACGTGCAGGCTAACACAGTGACTGCGTCGAGCTAGAAGTCTGCAAAACGGTACAATCAGGGATGAGGTGCAAGTGAGGTTATGTGCACTCACTATCAAAGCAATGTTCAGCAATCAAAGTCATCACTATGGGTCCGTCGTTGCATGCGAAATAGATGGAAGCATCTTCATCAAAACACTTTGTTAGAATGCACTGGTATTGTTTCTATGCAAAAAATTTTGGCTCGAGAAAATAGAAGTTCTTTTGTAAAAAATGTGAGATATAATTCAAGCTTGTGTATTGAGAGAGTAATCACACTTACAAGGGAAGGAAGGTGGGTCGAAGTGGCCTTTTAGAATGATGTGGGTATCATCTTGTGGGGCTTCGAACGCTGATTTCAAATCTGCCTTCCCTATCTGCGGCGCGTTTTTGGGCGAGGAGTTATGAGGGATATTAGGGGGCGGGAAGTCGATACAGGTACAATCAAGGACGGCAAACCGCTGTGTGCCGTATGGTGTAGTGGTTAGTTGGTGGTCTTGCAGGCAGAGGATCCCAGATTCGAATCTCCTGCTGTGGTCTACCTTTTGCTGGTCTACAAAAAATTTGTATGAGCACGTGTATCGCCTGTACATCACCTCTTCCTTCTTTTAACTGCAAATCTCTTCAAAAAAAGTTTCCTCTATGTTTTCAAACTATGTGCACTGATGGAAGGGGAGGACAAATGTTTGAAACATAGACATTCTTCACAATGAGAGCAACGAATGAAGATTACTTCTGAACAATCCGAATGTTTACAGTCTCCTATCAAACTGGAAAGAAAGCCGTGCTATGCAGGCGTTTCAAATCCCGGATGTGCATCAAGGTACTCGCTGGCGTACCAGGAATAAGCTGAACATTGCCGAATATGTTGACAGCATTGTGACCTCTTGCGTTCAACGGAGTGTTACGTGACAAATTGGCTCTTTTGATATTTCTACCTCCACTTCAGATCACTTGTAAAGCCTTCAGAGAGAGCAGTTGTTGCCTCTAGATTCTGATGAAAGAAACAGGGGGTGGTATATGGACGTTCCCCATGTTCATACAAATTTTTTTTAGACCAGCAAAACGAAAACCACAACTGGAGATTCGAACCTGGGAGCCTCTACCTGCAAGATCAGCACATAACCACTACACCAGACGTCACACATCGGTGTGCTTTCCTTGATTGTACTTGCATCGACTTCCCCTCCCCCCTCCCCCCCCCCTAAAAACCCTCATAACTCCTCGCCCAAAAAGCGCCGCAGATAAGGAAGGCAGATTTGGAATTAGCGTTCGGAGCCCTACAAGTTGATACCCACCTCATTCTGAAAGGCCACTTCGAACCACCTTCCTTCCCTTGTTAGACTATAATTGATGAGCTCTTTACAGTATGTAGTATGCTCATCTGTTTGAACTCTTGTACTTTCGTTTCAAAAAGAAACCCAAAGAACATTTTCGCGTAAGGTTGTCGTAGAGTTGCCCGCACGTCATGACAAGGCCATTTTCGGCCTGTTTTGGTAGAAGATTCCTAAATTCCTTGAAATCCATTTTTCCACAGAAATACTGTTTAGATTTGTAGCTCTTGAAGAGCTCTATTATCTTGGAGCAATCACATTATTTTTTATCTTCGTTTGGAAAAATAAGCGATGAAAGAATGAGAGCGTCTCCGCAACTTTTGGCAGTCAATGACGTGTCATCTCGTTTGAATTCGTAGATATTACCAGGTTGTCCGGAAAAGAGTGCAGGATCCCTAGCGATCACGACAGTGTAAATATAAGAATGTGGAATGTACATCATTCGATAGAGCAAAGCAACCTCCACGAGACTGCATTAGAACGATCGCAAAAAGTCTGATCCACCTGAATAGCAAAATTCAAATATTCAGTGTCTCAAAAATCAGTATTTGTCCAGAAAGATCCTGCGGACTTCCAACTTGGTCAGGATATACAGCCCTCATCAGACATTCATATGTACACTTCATATGTACACTTGCGATAATTTTTCCTTGGTTAGAAGTTGAGAAAATGGAAGTTGGCATGCCCTTGCAGATGGCTAGGCCACTCTGGCATGCGTATTCCCAAGCACCAACCTTGGATATGCGACCCCAGATTTTCGGCTATCCGCAAGGCCTAGTCTCCGAGCAATAGTGATTTCAGTATTGAAACCCAAAAAAGATTATTTTCGCATTCTTGGGCCATTTTGAATTTTCAATTTTCAGCTATTGTAAAAATGAGACGAGTGTTATGAATGTTTGATGTAGAAAGCATATGCGTGACCAAGTTGGAGGACCGCAGGATCTTTTTTGGACGGGGATTTGATTTTTAAACATTTGAGTATCTTTAGATTTTGCATTTGAACTTCACGTGGGTCGAGCCTTTAGCGGTTTTTTTAACGCAGTCTTGTAGAAATTCCTTTGCTCTAGCGAATAATATGCGTCCTACGTTTTTATATTCAAACGGCGTAATCGAGTAAAGAACCTGCATTCATTTTCAAAAAAGCCAATAATTTGTAGATTTTTTACTGCTTATCATCTTTCTGAGCTATGGAAGCGGAGCGTCTTGATAAGTTTTGAAATGAATATGTCAGCTGTATGCTGTGTCACACAACTAGTGCTGCACATTCGTTGTGACATATGAACATTCCGCTGTTTCACTCTCTCACTTATTCAGTATTAGTTGCCTCTTCTTTAGTAGCAGAGCTGCCCAAAC